CAACAAAAGTAGAAAGGATGGAAATCGAAAAAGAAAACCTCCCACCAAAGAAAATAAAAGAACCAAAAGAACCAAACACAATTCCGCCTCAGTTATCGATGAGGCATCCACAGTACAGGGTAAGTTTTATATTATTTTGCACTTTTCTGATGAAAAACTAAATTTTTATTGTCTAATTTCCATATTTGTTTCGTCTAAAAAAGGTAAGCTAAGCATCTGAAAATTATTTTCATTCGTCCAGAAAAAAAATAACACCATCTAATTTTAGGGTAAAATCCTGTAAATCGTCCAAATAAGAATCTCTTTATTACTATTATAAAACTTTTTCTTTTTTTTTTTTTTTTTAAAAAAAAACTGCAGCTAAAGGATATCTACTCTATATTAATTAAAGGGGAAGGATTAAGCAGCCAAAACTTTTGAAGATGTGAGCTTGTTCGATTCAAGGACGGGAGAGGATGCTTTCCAGATGTCACTCTTGCTGTTAGATAACGGTAATGAAGATGCAGAAGATGAAGAAGAGGACCAAGGAGAACCTTTAGATTCGAGAGGATGAAGTAGTAAAGGGATACCATGGCTCACTATCTTGTTTTCAGTTGGTTTGCTCGGCCTGTCTTCTACCTGACACTGTTGTTGAATGTCACGTATCAGAGACGAAATTGATGCTGGGTCATCTCCCAAAACGTTTTCTACGTTAATTTGATGAAAAGAATAAATATCATCCGAGTGTCTTTTGGTCATCGCAGGACCTTGTTGTTGCTGTTGCTTTGGGAGTGAATAGTAATCAGCCGATTGAGCAAATGGATACATGGGATACATGAAAGAGACAATATCCATTGGACATTTTTCCAGACGGGAGGTTTGAAGTAGAGTCATCTTTTGACGTTCGGTAAAGGCAGGACACATGATGCCAGCACGGACCAAGCGTTCGAGTAAAGTTGGATCGATTTGGATATAATCTTTGGACAAGTGTGTCTTGAGTGATTCTATTGACAATTTTAAAAGTTCATATATATGGTCTCGATGAATTGTCGTAATAAGATGGGCTTGATGCCAAGGGTACTTTGTAATAACTGTAATGATATTCTCAAAGGGTCGTTCAGCACATTTCCTTGAAAAATGAAGCTACATCGAAAAAAAAGATGAGTACTAGGACATGTGGGATATAAAGTATCTTGTTACCTTGTAATTTTTACAGACAACCAGCAAGGAATTGATCTCTTCACGAGTGATAAAAGGAGGACACGCCGAGTGAGCACCACCGCCAGCGGCTGTTGACATGGTCTTGACCACCTCGAATGTAGGCGGAATCGCCATGTTCCCTTGAAACTGACCTCGCCATTTGGGAAACACGACCGAGAGTAATTCTTCTGGACTACACTCTGTCACTGTCACGATACGACCCTTCAGAGGCTTTTCACTTCGAGTTTCAACGGCTCGCCAAAGGTCCGATACACTTGCAAATTCAACATAGGCATCAGAAAGTGTCTTGCCTGTCGTACGGTCCATGAGAATCTAGAAGAACCAAAGTTAATTTATGCAGTCCTTTTTGCAAGCATAAACAAATTAATTACATGAATTGATTGAGTGTAAACAGAAGATGAGGGCAATCGACAGTTTCCAAAAAAGTTACGAACGTCATTTTGCGACACATCCCAAGGAATCTACAGATACAATTTAAAAATATATATATATATAAATAAACCAAGGGCTTACATTGGTCACTTTTGCGCAGGGATAGACTGCAGGTACATAAGTAAAAGTGGGTACGTACTCTTTGGCGGTAATGTTGTAGGGGGTGCTCATGGTCTGTGTGTAAGTTAGTATATAAAAAAGGAAAAAAAGGGGTTTACATTACCTTGGTACATGTAGGGCAATCTTTTGATCTTTGACAATTGTGACATATTCGATGCTGTCCACATGAAGCGACAGGTAAGATGGATTGATACTGAAGTAAGCATTTAGCACATTGAAAAAGGATGGTTGGGCTGGATGCTCTTCTTGTTGATGGAGTGTTTGGGTCAAGGAAGTCTGCACCGTCGCCTTGAATGGAATGTTTACGGAATAGCTCAGGATAATCGTTGAATGGGTGAGAGTCAAATAATGAATAAGTGGTTGTAATGGAGGAAGATGGTGTAAGCAATGGTAGTTGGATGGGTGAGTTCTTTTCAATGTTTATTTTCATGTTGAGTAAAGGAAGAGAAAGAAGCAAAAGGGTCCTTTTATACTTTACCTATGAATGTTAATGAAGTCTATAAAAGGCATAGATTTTAAAATGGTTCATCTATATAAATTAAACAATAGACCTCTCCCCTTTTATTTCCCCCTTTTTAACAACTTTCTTTATGCTATTAATTTTTCTCTGGAATGAAAGACTCCTGTGTAACCCAAATAATTAAAATAAAATACAAAATCCTTTAGGCAAAATCAAGATGGAGGTAAAGGGGGAGCTAAAGAAATAAACATACCATCAAGTCCCCTATTATAAGCATAAAAATATGGCCATAGGCATGTATCTATGCATGGTAGATCTATCTTCAAATATGCGCTATATTTTATATCCTAGTTCAGCACATGACAAACTTAAATACGAGAATCCAACCAAAAGAACATACATATCAACATCGTAAAAAAAAAGACACAAAATAAACATAATTATGACGACATAGTTGTACCTTTTTAAAAAAAGCTATCACCATAGAAACAGTTACTGTGTTGTCTCTTGACTTTTTTTTTTCTTTTCTTTTCTATACTTTTTCCTCACGTGTAAAGAGTAGTTTCATTTAGTGTAATACAAATTTTTTTTTTTTCTTTCCTTGAAAATCTGTTAGTTTCCTTTTTTTACACTTTTTTCTTTTTTTTT